GAGCTAGCAAGACGTTAGCATTTAGCCTGAGCTAGCAAGACGTTAGCGTTTAGCCTAGCAAGACGTTAACATTTAGCCTGAGCTAGCAAGACGTTAGCATTTAGCCTGAGCTAGCAAGACGTTAGCGTTTAGCCTGAGCTAGCAAGACGTTAGCATGCAAACAAAGGCAACGTTTATCCCGCATGATTCATCCAAAAGGTTGGACAGAAAATGTTTAATTTAGGTATTAATTTAGTTATTGTTTTTTTTGTCAGATTAGGTGGTGTACATGCCAAGTCCAAGGTATACTTTGTGTTTTGAGGTTTTTATTGACATAAATGAAATTATATTTGGACAATAAAAGATGTTAGCTTAGCTAATAGTACAATTATTCATACGCTATATTTGGGGACAAATCAACAGAAAAGTAATTAATTGTAGAATTATATATGCTATTTTTGTACCATATATTAATCAGTGTATTATTCAGTTAATTTTCTTTAACATTTTAAAAGTTTGAAATGCTAATTTCAATTTTCAAATGTGAATTCTGAATTTCAGGGTAAATGATGCCATTAGTTTTGTAATAAATAAATTAAATTATTCGGTTGAATGCTTATGGATGGCTACAAAATCAAATTCAGTTCATTTTAGTTTAGCTTGTTTACAGCATTTAGCTCCAATTCACAACTAAACTCATCTCAGGGCTTTATTGTTTTATTTTCAATTGTTTTTGCTGAACATCCTGCAGAGTCAGACAAACCAAAATGGACTTTTTCTTTGAAGACGTACCGTCCACCAACCAGTCCACTCCCAAGAAAGGACATGAAGACTCTCCGGTAGTAAATATCATTAATAAATTAATAAGTAAATAATTCTAATACTGTGTGGACAAGATAATAGCTTGTGAAAAAGGAGTTTTTGACAAAAATACAATTTTGTAATCCATGTTAAATATTCTGAGAAGAAGAGGTGGCCTAAATGTATTGTAGCTTGATTTAAATGGTTATTCTGGGCATTATTGTGATATGTCACCTAAATCATTAGGTTTTATAATCATTAGCATTACTTAAAAATGCTCACACGGTTATTTAACCCACACAAGATTTTATAGGTAAAAGTAAAATATCTAACAATATCAATACAATTATGCACTGATTTGTCGCTGGCATGCAAAAAAACCCAAAGGCAGAGCGTTAATGCGTTTGCTGTTTATGTCGCGGTTACTATTTCTGTCAGATGATGGAAGTGATTCTGGCTCTTTTTTTGTTTCGTGGCCACATTTTACAGTCGGAACACACAGATCGTGATTCATCGAGAGAGAAATCCTCAAGTGTGAGCATGGCTGAGATTCAAGAACAGCAGAGCAGGTACTGAAAATCCAGTAAATGGCCTATTCATAGACAAACAGCTGTTGTTCTGCAGTGAGTTCAACCTGCTAACGTTTGCCTCTCCTAATGGCTGCAACTCAGCGTTCACTGTAGCCCAAGCATAGATGACATCAGCAGGAGAGCTCAGGAAATGGTGGAAAAAATTAACCACAGACGTGCGAGTGACCAAAGCATGATGGATAGCTTTCAAGAGAAGTTAATAGAGAAGGTAAAAGTGTATTTTACATATGCGCCCCAAATAAATGTTGAATTACTTTGTGTCCTGCTTGTTCAGATGTTCGGATCTGGTTGACGGTCTGATTATTTCTGCCCCACCAGGTGACCGAGATGTGCCAGCAGATGAAGGGCCACATGTACACAGTCTATGAGGGGAACAGTGATGACATGCAGGTGAAGCTTCAGGAGCTGTCGGAGGTGCTGGACAGCTGCACCAAGCTGAACCATGAACTTCTGGAGGCCAGTCAGGCCCTGGCATGTCTCAGAGAGGATCTGGGCCTAAATCAGAGCTCAAACCAGTGACAAACTGGTTATCAGCTTGCAAACTTGTTCTGAATAAGTTATCTTGCTATTTTGCATTACGTTAGAAATAAAATGATTGATTTTAGGTCCAAATTTATGTGTAGTTATTGTTATTTGTGTTGTTTATTATCTTTATATGTAATGTTAAACGATTGATTCTGCTTGCAGTTTCAGGTACAGGTGGTGCTGTGAAAAAAAACAAGTTCATGTTTTCTACTTTGTTTTATCATTTGTTAAAAACACTTAAAATAAACAAGTACAAAGTACAGATTTTCTACTCATCTGTTTACATGAATTTGTATTATTATTGTATTTACAGTAGATTCATAACGCGCATAACGTTCACTTAAAATATAAAAAAGAAGTAACTTAGTTCAAAGTCAGTTTATTTGTAAATCTTAATAACTAAAGTTTGTCAACAGAAGACATCAGATTGTCTTTAGATGCTGGACATTTGAGTAAAAATTAAAAACTTTTTTGTCCCTGGGTGGGCTCGAACCACCAACCTTTCGGTTAACAGCCGAACGCGCTAACCGATTGCTGTAGAAGCCATCTTGTTGGTCTGTGCAGGACTGCCCTCTGGTGGTGAATAGACGTAACTGCAGGTTCCTGAACTGCTCGATCAGCGTCAAGAATATTCACAGTGCAAACGTAGGAAAAAAAACTTAATAATCCCAGTTTCTAAAATGTTACAGGCCTGAGATGCAGCAGTTATTCTATTTTATGAAACTGTTTGTATGAAGACTCTTATTTTTGTTTTACTGTTTTATTTAAAATTTTCTGAACTTTTTTGCAGTCCAATCGCTTCTGCATAAGTTGAGCTATTTCCATCATTCATTAATGAAAACATTCGGCTCATTCAGGAGACATTCTTTTGGTTTCTGTAACTTCTGTACTTTTCAAATTATTAAACTTTTTTATTATTATTTATACAGGTTAATCCCATTGAGCCGGGGACTCATTTACATTTTTTTTCTCCCAGAAAATACATTGAGATTGATGTATTTCCTTAAAAACATTTTTTTATCCGCTTCAGCAAACTGGTTTTATCTTTATTTTCAGATGTTACTTTTAGTTTTCAACCGCAGTTCTACTTTTAGCTACCATTTTGCCGTCTTTAGCTTGTAGCTAACCCTTTTCAACTTTGACCTACTTTATGGCTACTTTTAGTTTTAGCTACCTTTTGCTACTTTAGCTTTTAGCAAGCCAATTAAACTTTCAGCTAGCCCTTTGCTAATTTGACCTTTTAAGTATACCAGCCCTTTTGCTACTTTTGGCTTTGCTCTTTTACTTTGTAGACAATTTTTCTAATTTTAGCTTTTTGCTAGTGTTTTAATGCTTTTAACCTTTTTTTTTTTAGCCTTTAGCTACTTTAGCTTTTAGTTAACAATTACTGCTTTTTTGCAAGCACTTAGCTACTTTAAGCTTTTAACTAGCCTTTTGCTCCAATTATATTTAGTCTGAATAGCTCTTTTTAGCTTCTAGCCAACTCTTGTTAAGATTAGATTTTAGCTATCATTTTACTGCTTTTAGTTAGCATTTTGCTACATCTACCTTTTGAGGTCGCCTTTTGCTACTTCTAGCTTTTAACTGTTTTGTTATTTTAGCTAGTTTTCTAGCTTTAACAATTCAATTTCAGCTTCTTCAGCAAACTCATTCAGCACTTAGCGTTAACACAGCATTTTCACAGGAAATGTGATTTCTTTGGTTACATTTTGTGAAACAAAATGCAGGTGGCACGCTGGAGCAGTGGTTAGAGCTGTCGCTACTCAGGGAGAAGGTCGCAGGTTTGCTTCCCAGCTTTTCTTTGTGGAGTTTACACATTCTCCCCATGCACACATGGGCTTTCTCCTGGGGCTCTGGTTTCCTCACAAACCAAAAACATCCATGTTAGTGGTAACTCTAACTTGTCCCCAGGTGTGAATGGTTGTCTCGTTTGTCTCCATGTGTCCCTGTGATGGACTTGCGACCTGTCCAGGGCCCCCGCCCCTCACACAGCAGCTGCTGGATGTAGGCACCAGCTCTCTATGAACCAGAAAGGAGAAACAGTTAAAGATAATGGACGGATGGGATTGTGTCTCAGAGGTTTTATAAACCTGATTAAATTTCATACATTTTAATTATTCATCGCTTTCCCAGAAAACCTGCACTCGACACATTTGTGGTCAGCAGTTCCAGTTAACCGAGTACTGTAGTGTAATCTAAGGATGGGTGACTTGTATTTATCTTTTCAAGATCTTTATTTTATGCCCTGTAGCTTCTTCGGGGCTGCATGGAGCCACAAAAATATCAACAGGAAACATGAAAACACGTCTTTAGGTCTGCTGAGAGTACAGGTTTACCCTTCTCTGACTCATTGTAAGGAACTTTACAGCCATGAAGACATTAAACTTTAATTTGTTTTGACAAATTTACTCTAAAATTAAATGTTAAAGTTGTAAAAGTTCACATTTTTGCTCTGGAATCAGCTGATCATACAGGAAGATTTAAACACAAGACCATTTAAACTTTATTAGGTCAAATTTTTAAAATGACTTAATTTTAAATACAGAAACTAATCTGAGGGTTTATTAATGCCAGACACCAAAGGGAAAAGGGTACTGTTTTTGCCTGTGTGCACGTTTGTTTAGTGTTAAGAAAATATTTGATGACCCACTGGATAGATTTTAATGCAACTCTTAAGAAAATAAATACTGGGTGCACACATCTAAAACTGATTAATGTTTGGAGTTGATCCAATCCAATATGGCCACCACAGTAAACTGAACTTAATAAACACAAAGAAAGGCTATAACTCGGTCAGTTTTACAAATACAGTTCAACTTTAGCACAAACAAACCTTAATGGTGGCCTGCAATAAGCATTCACTCAACCGACTCTAGCTTTTAATATTTATAATTAACTGGTCTAGAGGCTTTTTATTGCGGTGGGCTTGTTATTAAATTAGTCAATAAAAACAGAGTTTTTATAACAATCACTTAAAAAACACGTCTTCCCACCCTTTAGATTCCATCGCAGTTGGGAGGGCTCGTTTCGCGTTGAGCTCTCTGATTGGTTAACTAGGCTGTCAGTTTGTAGAACTCGCTCTCTGATTGGCTGTAGCCACTCCCCGTTAGCCTGGAACGCTCCGTTTGGTCTGGGAGGTCTTCTTCTTCGGCGCTTCTGTAGCAGCAGAGATATCTACTTGGTCTGTTGGGCTCTCGGTTTTGGTGTTGATAGGGGCTCTCCGCCTCGACATTTCCATGATAACTGAGCTGTCTACGGTTTGATCAGCCGCGAGGAGCCGAGCAGGAACGCGAGAATGGAGCTGGAGGAGAAAAACCCGGACCCTAAACACGGTAAGAAAAGCTCCAACTCTTTTTTTTATTTTTTTTATCTGTGTTTATGTGTTTTTTTTTAAGCTTCCGCCCTGAACAGGAGAAGAAATGGAAACAATGACTGCAATGGATGGATGGGTGTGGACCTCATGGGTCTCATGCAGATCGGGACTAGAGAGCTCCTCCTTGTCCGCAATTTTTGGTTTTAATTTATCCTTTTTATTTTACAAAACACAGAAATAATTGTGAACACATGTTGTTGTTTTTTTAAAAAAATTTAATATATCCTCCATTACAATTTAAATCAGTAAGCTAAATCTGGTTTAATGGGATTTTTAAAAGCTGATAATGAGAGCTTTTTGGAGATGTCTGCCAGGGTGCCAACCCTTGAACGTTTTGTTTTCTGTGCAGGAAACAAACAAACAAACAAGTGTTTATTTGGCTCATTGGTTTCTCCCCTGGGTTTGGAAATGGAAACCATTTGGTGTGTGTGGATCAGCATCTGGTCCTCTCAGCTTCTCACAGCAACACAAACACATGGACCAAACAGATGTTGGTCTCTTTGGTGAAATTATCAGTGAATCACAACATTGTTTTCACATTTTTTCTGTACGTTTTGTGCCTTCTCAGCCGTTCAGACCTCAAAATGTTCAGCTCATTTAGGAGATGGGTGCTGTGACTTTTGGTTTTTGTAAGTTTAGTACTTTTCAAAAATATCTAGCTTTATTTACAAATGTTTTACCCATAGAAATACATGAAGATGTGAAAGCTTCAGCAAACAGGCTCTCTCTTTAGCTACCTTTCTGCTTCTTGTGACATTTAGCAAGCCTTTGGCTACTGTTTTGCTTTTAGCTATTTTTAGCTTGCCTTTTGTACTTTTAGCTACTTTTCAGCTATTTATAGCTTTCAATTAGCCTCCTGCACTTTTAACATTAAGTTAGCCTTTTGCCCATTTTGGTTTTCTGTGTTCTGCTATGCTACTTAGCATTTTGCTATGTTTAGCTTTAATTTAATCTAATTTTAGCTAGCTAGCTGTTTTTCCACATTTAACTTTTAACTAACATTTTGCAACTTTTAGCTAATAGCCTACAATTTAGCTATTAGCTAGCCTTATGGTATACTTGGCTTTTATTTAGTCTTTTCTACATTTCGTTTTTTCTAACCCTTTGCTTTTTTACTGTTAGTTAGCGCTTAGCCACTCTTCCTTTTAAGTTATCATTCTGCTATTTTTACCTAGTCTTTTGCTATTTTTAGTTTTCAGCTAACCTTTTTTTTGTTTTTTAGCTTTTACCTCCTTACTAATATCTGCTTCTAGCTATTCCTTTGATACTTGTAGCTTTCAGCTAGCCATTTCCAACTTTTTTCTTGTTGATAGCATTTTGCTACTTTAGCTTTGAGCTAGTAGTTTGTTACTTCTGGCTAGAGTTTTGCTAGTCATAGCTATGACTTTGCCATTTTTGGTTTTTAACTGGCATTTAGTTTCTTTTAGCTTTTAGCCAGCGTTCTGCTTATTTTAAGCTTCAACAGCTCACTTTTTAGCTTCCTCAGCTAATTTCAGCGCCGTCGTTCAGCCCTCAGTGGTTACACTGCGGCGTCTTCAGTTCTGTTTATCTGTTTACACATGGAGTGTTATTAATAATTTCAGACTAAGCTGTGACTCATTGCTGAATCAGCTCAGGCCTGGTCCTCCTGTGTCTGAGCTCATGGTGGCTCTGGAGCCATGAAGTTTTAATAACCAGCCTGAGTCTTGCTGCGTGGCACTAAGTCAGCGTTGTTGCACGAGAAGACGATCATCGAAGGGAGCAAAACACGACCCTTCGGCTGGTATTTCATCAAGCACGCATGTTGCCTCACTGCTAAATTCCATAACACAAAGAGAAATGTTGAGTTCACATTCAGAAACTTGACTCTTGCATGTACGTCTGTTAGCAAAAATATGTCATGAACCACTGCGCTCTTATGCGATTTCCCCAGAATGAATGATTGGATCCTTCTCTGATCCCGTTTCATTCCCCAGATGTTCAATGTGACACATTTTTTGTAGCTTTACTGTTGCCACATAAACACCTTTTTCTTGCCACCTCCCCCCTACAAGGGCCAAAAGGGCAAAACCTCAGCCCACTTTTCAAAGACTTGTGTGGTGCAGTTCATTGTTATCCCTCAGTAGTCATCAGCAGAGCTTTGCCTGCGACAAGTCCACAGTTGCTACATATCCGTCTATCTGAGCTGCAGTTTGAGCATGAAGGCAGGCTGCAGCGTGCGCCGCCTGGACCGTGTTCAGCCTTGTCTGCTCAACCCACACAGCAGACACCAGTCATGAGGCTCCCAGTCAATATTAAGCCAACAAACACACATTTATTGCCGCATGCGCTACAAGCATACACACAAAAACATGGCTGAATGTTCTGTGACTGTTTGGTGAGAAGATTAGACGAAGTATTTCTGCTCGATCTGAGCTGTGGTCACGAGGAGCACAGAATGAGGCGTTTACTGTTTTCTCATTACAGCACCGCCCTCGACGCTGAGTGATAGTGATTTTGCCTTCTTGTGTTTGTGTAACCTGTCAGTACCGTTAGCACAATAAGCCATGGATCAATTGAAACTTTCAGAATGTAATCGTTGGATGTACAACTGATTACCTTTTGGAGTCTACCTAATTCCAGATGGCCACCACAGCCATCTGACATAAGAAAACACAAAATGGTTATAACCAAGACTTTAACCTGTTAACGGGACGCCAGTTTTGAAGCGTAAACGTAGCATTTCTTGTTTAAGCCTGTCGCGATAAACGATACATCAATTAATCGCATGATGAAAATTATTGACCTCATTTTCATTTATCGGCTTTATCGTTTCTTCGTGTCCCTCTTTCTACTGAAGACACTGGATGACAAAAGGCTCTACTCCGGTGCTCTTCACTGACTCTTCCCTTTCTCTTTTCTCTTTAAAATCAGTTTTAATCGTCCACAAATCATGTTTTTGGATCGTTAAAAGCAGTTAAGTTAAGCTAAGCTAACAGGCCGACCTTGTGGAAAATACCTCCGTCTTGTCGAAGTTCTAAAATTCAATGTTGAAACCCGTGCCTTTGTGAAAAAAGTAGCTTTTCTCTACAAAAAGAAGCTGAGAACTTGTTTACTGATTTTTTTTAAACTGTGTGAAAAATGTTATGCTAAAGAAATCACACCGAGTGTACGCCACTTTGAGAACAATAAAAGGAAGGAGAGACAGCCCATGTCACGTCAAGGGGCGTCCCTCCCATTTTTCTTAAATGGGCACACTGCTCGCTCCCTCACTATCCATCCTTTGATTTAAAAAGTCTCATACTGCCATTCAGTGGTCAAAAAGGTACTACACATGAAACATAACTAACATTTCTTCTTAAATTTGACAGTAATTTCTAATTATTGTCAAATTTCAAACAATATTATCGTTTATCGCAATAATTTCTGGGACAATTAATCGCCCAGCAAAATTTGTTATTGTTACATTTCTGTTGCGTTTTGGTTGTTTGTACACGACAGCAGCAGCTGTTTTTCTGAAACTGAATCGTTTTGAATTCATATCAGAGTGGAGGATCTTGGGAAATACCTGGCGTTGTTGTAAAGTCTCACACGTTCGCTACGGACAGCTGAAGTCAGGAGTTTTTCTGCGCCCGTAGATGAACAACAGTAGCAGAGTGCTGTTTGTGCTGCTCACCCTATTTCACCGTGTAGGAGCGATCCAACCTAATCCTCAGTCCAAACAAGCGTTCGCCTATTCACCATTATGGATGTAGCCATTTTCATTCTCAAAACTCAAGCGTGTGCATGCACGTGCATCACTTTTTAATATAAAAACCACACCGCCAACTAGCGGCCTAGCATGGAAACTAGAACCGATTCAACAAGCACAGCATTACTGTGAAAACGTGTAACTTACACGATGAATATTGGTAAAACGCCAACGTTTCCAGAAATTGTTCACGTGTAATCAAGGCCTTAGTCACTTGTACACATACTAAGCTAAGATTTGGTGTGGTAGTAGCTTAGAGTCATTCACTGCATGCACTATAAGACTTTGCGATATCACTTGAGATCACGCATAATGTTATTTAAAAGTTTTAAACCAACTCCATCATTTCTGAACATAAAACAGTCTGGCATGAAACGTGGCAGGTGATATGTGTTCCTTCAAGGAGTTCTGGGCCTTTATTTTTATTATGTAGGCCAGTGGCCTCAAAAGTGACTGAATCAGGGTTTTTTGATCCTATGTAGTGCGTTTACAACTAATTTAGTAGAACAGCAGCTTCCCTGAGCTTCCTCTGTCTTTTTGGTTGATAAAATAATCTTTCCTTTTATCTTTTGATAAAGAAGGGAGTCTTTAGATGTAGAGTCCGCACGCGCGCACACACACACACACACACACGTGTGCAACCACAGTAGCCATGAAGCCATTAGGTTAGGCAGGAAAGGCTTCATTTGATAACCCCTCAGAGCCCATTAGTGAATCACTTCAGCCATGACATCATCACACTAGTAACACACACACACACACACCTAAAATGTTTTAGTACTCTTATAAATACTAGCTACAGCTACATGTTGGCTCATTTAGAGTAAGGGTTTATTTCATTTAGACACTGAAAGATGAGTAATAATATATTAAAGATTGAGCATTCTTTGAAGGAGTGCATGTCGCCATGACGATCAAAGATCTCATGTTAAGGATAAGTTGTAGCCATTTTGGTCAAAATGTAAAAATCTTTTTAGTGCTTGTGAAGATCTATCGGCTGTGGCGATCATCTTGAATCAGGCTGACTCAGGAAAGTAATAAATTGTAAATGAACACCCAGGGATTATGTTGCAAGTTAGATTAAACTTTGTCCTTTAGTTCGTGAGATATTTTATTGACGCTCCAGACAATCCAACTCACAGACACGGACAAAAGCATTATCGCCTTTTTCCCTCAGCAACGAGCGATAATCAAACCAGGTTACCTAAATTAAAAATGACAAAATTTGCAATACACTTACACAGATAGGT